GATCAAAAACGGGGGGGTGGGGAGGGAAATGCACGGGATTATGGTGATGGCACACGGGTGACTTGGTGATGGGAAACCCGCGGGGATAACAATTGAGATGGAAAAAAAAAATGTACAAAATGATATAAAAATAAACTTTTGGAAAAAAAAAGAGCTATGTAAATGAATGAAAGCTTCAGTCTCTCAAGTCAGGACTGTCAAGCTGAACTTTCTGGATGATGGAAATGTTCTCTGTGCTACTGAAAATCGTAGTCACTAGTCATATGTAACTACTGAAATGTGGCTATTTTTTACTATACTAGACAACACAGATCGAGAAAAATGTAACTCTAAGCCTTGGCTTTTAACATCCACCTTGTGCACTTGTGACATTGCACAAGACAACCAAGAAGCCATCTCCTGATTAATGCTGGTCACACATAACCAAAACTGCACAGCGTGGCTGAGGGGCACTGCAAATGGCCACAGCACCGCAGAAGGGGTAATGGCCCATTACAGGACCCAAGAAAACCTCTACTACAGCTAAGTTATTGGGATTTCAAGCTACACAGAACCACTAGAATGCAAAAACCAGAGTTCTGAAAGACAAATTGGTAACACGGATTTACATCAAGCTCGGTCTCCTCCTCTGGAAGCCCCAGTAAGCCCTTGAGTTCATCATCCTCGCCACCCATCTTCTCATCTCCTTTCACAGCCGATGGCAGTGTCTGAGGCTTCTCACGCAGAGTGTACGCTCTTGTGGACGCGCCAAAGGAGACCGTGGAGTCGATGGGAATTTGCTGAGGCTTGTGAGGCTCCAACCGAATGTGACCCAAGAAGGTGCCGTGTGCTGAGAATAACCAAATCAGAAATGTGAGGGAAAACAAACAAAAGCAACTTGAGTTGTGGAAGGGAGAGCAGCCCCTCCCAGCACATCGGTTTTGCTTTCTAAAGTGAGAACGGCAATGGGTCCGCTTGGCGTCCCTTTTCATGGGTCACAATAAAAAGGAAAACCCCTTCACTGAGCCTTGAATCTCTCCATTGGATTTCTTACACATCTTCAGACCTGCTGTACCCCAAATAACAAATACCATTGCTTGTCCTCTGCTGCCAGACAAGCTTGGCTCCATTCTGGGTACGGCAGGAATGGCTCCAACCCAGAAACAGCCATGACCCTCCCAGGCAGGAGACAGGCATCGCTGTGGTCTGACCGCTCCAGCCCCGGGCTAAGGAACACAGGCCTGGTGGCAGATATGCCAGGGTTTTCCTCAGGACGAGGAAAGAGGTTGGCTGAAAAAAGTGCAGCGTCAATGCCAAGGCAAGACAAAATTCTACAGGAGATTCTGAATGTTTCCATGTCTGCATTCTGTGCATTATAAAATGGAGAAAAAAATGAGATAAATTTGCAAGTAAGCACTTGTGAAACAGTTTTCCAAAACTATTACGTGAACAGATTGACGTGGTGTGTGTGTGTGTGTGTATTATGTGTGTGCGTGCGCGAGTGCTGGGGGTTTGGGGGTGAGGATGAGAGTAGAAGACAATCAACCCAAGAAGCAGGATCCTTTACATCTTATACTGTTTGTTTATGGGCAAAATGAACAAGATTCAGGATCCTCTGCAGCCAAGTCTCAACTGCATTTCTGTGGATTATCTTTGACAAAGTTGAAAACATAATGCTCAGCATGTGCTTATGGGATTAAAGCTGACTATTAGTGGTAGTCAGAGTAAAAGCGGCTGGGATAAAGAAGGCATTATAAATAGTTAGATTTTGCTCAAAACAAGTGTTTTTTAAATGTTCTGTTCCATTTTACTCTGTTAAGTCATAGCTTCTGCTTGAATTGGAACACAGCTTATCATAGCTCTACAATATTTGAGTACCCACAGCCTCTGGTTCCCGAGTGCATTTTTGGTCTCTCTGTGACCCTACTGCCTCCTCTAGGACAGTGTCCCCAAAGCCCTCTTCTCTCCCTAGTCATCACTTATTTCAATAGGAACAATTACAGGGAGACAGATGGGCTGATTTAAAAACCGAATGTAAACTTCCTCGATGAGCAATAAAACAAGTTTTCAAAACTGAGGAACCCAAAGAGCATTTTCACGTTGCCCAAAGGGAGTGTGTGAAACCGGACGGGATGTGAGTTACTTACTACTGTTGAGATCTATTAGGAAAACTCTCTTCAGATGCTTGTGGTAGACCAAGGCAGCGTGGACCCGAGAGCAAGACTGGTGGTCAATGGTAAAGTCACACAAATCAGGGTTTCTCCCAAATAAGTAATACTTCTTCTCATCAATAATCAGTTTCTAAATAAATATTAAATTAAATATTACTTAAGTCAGGGTTCAGCAAAAATTCTTCCAGTCAAGTAAGTAAAGGATCTAGAGTAGATAAAGTTCTTTGCCAAAGTTAAAAAAAAAAAAAAAATTCCCATTATTCTTTAAGATAAAGAGCTAAGAATGAGTTACTAACATTTGGGGGGTGGGAGGGGCAATGATAATAACTCCCCAAATATAGTGGTCAAATGTCTGATGTTGGTATGAAAAGAACTTTTCCTAATTCCATTAGATGAAAGTAGCTTGCAAGAGTTACCTTCTCTCTCCTTTGGAAAGTTAAAATTGCACCTAAACTTAATTTTAGGTCTTGTGGGAAACAAGAAGCCCAAAGCTTATCCACAAAGTAGTAAAAGGACCGTTCAGAAAATAAACATTCGAATGAAGATTATCGATTAATCAGGAAAAGAGGAGGGTGGAAATACCTAATCTAATCATACTGCCAGAGCCCCGAAATATTTAGGAACTGGAATTACATTAGACATTGTGTGAACCTGTACATTTAAAGGCTCCATTTCACTTGGGCCACAGAAAAAGTATTAGTCAGGGTTAACTTTAAATGAACACTTGCTATGTCCAAATATGGAACTACCACACAAGGCAAAGATTTTCCATGTGGGGATTATTAACATCTATTGAAAGACCTTCTGTAGGTATTTGAAGCATTAGCTCATCTAATCCTCAAACCAACTCTGTTAAATAAGCATCACCTCTATTGTTAAAGACAAGAAAATAGATTCTAAGAGAAGTCACTCATTCCAAGTGCTGAAGTGGTTGATCTAGGATTTAAACTCAAGTGTGAATGACTTGTTTAGCTAATATGCTAAACAATGTACCATGGGTCTGAAATAATTCTGAGACAAGAGCTCCAAAATGTTTCCAGCTTTTGGTGTGGCACTGGAAGAAGTAAAACTACATAATGCCCCAATATAATAGCAGGAAAGGGAATTTCACAGACCAGTGAACTGTTATTAAAACAATTACACAGGAGAAGGAGCTGATAAAGCATGGCTAACATTTTATTTTGCCAAATAAAAACACTAAAAAAGAGTCACCATTTAGTATCATTATAGTCATTTTAACAGTAGGAAGAGCGAGGACCACTCTTTTCAGTGGTCCTGGAATGTAGCTTTATGAAAAACTACACTGATCTTATTTTTCTCTTACTCCTAGATCAGTAAAGCCTTTGTACGAGGCTGGTGTATAGGGGACTATCGTAGATGAAGAACTCCAGGTGAATTAGGGCAAATATTTCTTCCAGTTCTAAAAGCCTATAACCATTTCGAAGAATAACCCTCATGTGGGAATGTTGTTTCCCCTTTAAACACAAAGTCTGATTATTTCACATTTCACACTATACTCCTAAAATTCCTGCGATAAGGCAGCACAAAGCTGTGCCGAGGGCAGTTAAGTCAGCACTGTACCATGTTAGGAATCAAGAGGTCTGTATCTCCTTCCTGTATGTCACTGAACTCACAGTGGGCTACTATTCTCCCTTATGCTTCAGTGTCCCCAAAACTAGAGATGTGTACAAAACCAGAAATAAGCCTCCTGCACTGAGAGCAGGAGCAACTGTTGCGGACTCAGGCGCCACGCACGCTGTGCTGTGCATTTATGCTTTGTCATTTCATCCTCACAAGCACTTGGGAGGTGGGGCGGTACTGTGCCTATTTTTGTAGATGAGAAAATTGAGCCATTAAGAAAGTAATTAACCTATTCAAATTCATATCTAGATATCTGTAAGCTGGATTACAAATTCTGGTCTGACTTCAAAATCTAAGCTCTTTAAAACACTACAACATCTACCTACATCAAAAATTTTACCTGTAGTCAGCCACATTTTCAAGAGTGAACAAATACTATGGGTCACACTCTTGATTTTTCTCTAAATAACCATTTACCCAGTTCCTTTCCAGCTTAGCCTGAAGGCTCCATTAGTTCAATTAGTTTAGGCAGGTCTATAGCCTCTGGGTGTCGCAGGTCACTGGCCTGCACTGCTAGGGAGCCCCAAGACAGCATCTGTCTAACAGCTCAATCAGACCACTATCCCTGCATGCGTCTGTTTAGACCCAGGTTTTAAGACTTTGGTTAAAAACAAGGCATTGGTTTAGGATTGAGACACTCTGAAATATCAACACCATCTCTCTAGCTATTATCTATGCAGGTTGAATCCCTGCCATTTCTCATTCCCATTTATGCACACACAGATTATGTCTTCAAACTAAAATTTGCTAATCAAGGTGTTCACAGACTGATCTCAAGACAGTCAGTTGACCTTGAACAATGTGGGTGCTAGAGGCGCCCGCAGTGCAGCCGAAAATCTGTGGACCGGAAGTCTCACTGATAATATACACAGTGTAATCACATATATCTTATGTTACATACTGTATTCTTACAGTAAAGTAAGCTAAAGAAAAAAATGTTATTTAGAAAAAACACAAGGAAAATAACAGCTAAATACTTCACTCTATCAATACCATGCTTACTGTTTCCTTACAAGAAAACCTGCACAGAAGAGGACCTCACAGTTCAAATCCATGTTGGTCAAGAGTCAGCTGTTTTGACGACCACCAACTCTTGGGTTCTAATGTAACACGGACTAAATTTCAATGAATCTAAGGTGCAAAATCATAACAGATTTAGGTGTCTGAGGGAAAAGAAAAAAGTGGGCCTTCAAATTATATCTACATGTTCGCTCACTACTGAAGGCATGTCAGTTGCAGAAAGGTGAAAATGCAGGGGAGAAAGCAACATGTCTCAGAATTGTTGGACAGTGTGCTCTTCTGTGCAGGTGAATGAAGTACGCACCAGGCATTTACAATCATTAAACCCACAATTTTTTGACAAGTTATGGTACCACTCTCCAATTGTGCCTCTGAGTTATAACTCAGAATGTGTCTTTACACACTGGGCTTAAAAGACTCATGGCTTTTGTTTTAATATTGCACTTCTTAAACCCAGCTATCACAACACATCGCAAGCCCTGAGATAAGGCTAGGATATAGATAGCTCGGTTAGTATCAAGTGCTGTCAAATCCTTAAAAAGAAGCACAAGTCTAGTCATTTCAAAAACAATACAGAGATCTCTAAGGATTATAAGTTGACAATCGTGATGCAACTCAGCACACCCAAGAACACTGAAAGACAGAACATTATGAGTTAATGGAAACCAGTAATCAGAGGGATGCTGGGCAAGTTAAATGTTTAGAAAATACAAATTATTTCACAAAAGCATGTATTATCTTTAATATTAGTCTTCCTGTAGAAAAGACTTACTAAGTTCTAATAACAAAATAGATTCCTATATGTCTCCAAAACTTTGTGCTATTGCTGCTGTTCTTTGGAACAGTCTATAGTTAAAAAAAAAGCTTTATAGACAGTTTAGCTAAATAATCCCCTTGAATAATATTTATGCCTTGTAAGCTTTAAGATTCTTGTGGGCCCTCCCTGGGGCACAGCAGGTTAAAGCACAGCACTAAGAAGCTAAAGCCACTTCAGCATGAGTTCGAACCCGCCCGCCCAGAGGTGACCCACATGGCGCGGCAGACCTCTCCTGACCCGCCCGCTGCTCCCCTCAGCAGTGTACTTCGTCAGTCTGCCTGTTCTGCTTCCCACTCTGTCTCTGGTGGAGCCTCCATGTATAAGAATCCATGACAAAGAGGCTCAAAGTGACCGGCTAAGGGCAGAATACCTGGTAGAGTGACAACATATTTATGGAATCTGTCAGGCGATCTCACAGTCAGGCTTTTCAACCATGGGATGCAATGTTTTCAATATATAAATCAAAGAAAAACAACTGCATTCAATAATGGGGCCTTGAATGTAAATTCTGAGTAAGCAAACATGAAGTTGGCCTAAGACATGGAAACTCAACTCCGTGGTAGTAGTGGGCTTGATCTCCATTTTCTGATAAATGGTCCCACAAAGATGGAAAAACACTCATACAACCTGGCTATCAAAATTCACGTTCTCTTACTATTCTATGTGATATTCTCTCTGAAGAGATTATAAAAGCTGGAATTCTGCTAAACTCTGTCTGTATAATGCTTATTTCATGTAATTTTTTTGTAAATGTCTTTCCCAAGAGAAGATTCCTTTCAGTTCAGGAGCCAATTTGTTCTGTTCACTATTGTATTATGCCAAACACAATGACTGGCACATAGGAAGCAATGAGATATTTTCAATGAATGAATTTTGGCACTATTTCATTATCTTTTTGATCAGCTGTCTCAGTTTGCTATCCTTCTTTGAAGAGTCTGAGCCTGCATCTCGTAAGAGCTACCCAACAGTTGAACTCAGGCGACATCACTGTCCTTCAGCTATTGCATTATCTTGTACCTTCCATGCAAGTCCATGGCCTAGGGAGGAAATTCACCAAGTTACAGGCCTTCTGGTTTTATGGGTGCCAATAGGCCCATGATCTATTAAAACCCTTTTTTTGGGAAGGTGCGAGAAGTCACAAAAAACTGAGTGTCTGTGGGAGATATGAGGTTTGAATGTGTTATGTCACTATGTGCTTTTAATAGAAAGAAAAAAAAGGATGAACAAAAGTAGCATTGCTGGAAAACAAAGCACAGGAGAGGGGGTGGAAAAGTGAGTCACTGGCAAAATCTCTAGTGTGATGGGGAAAAAGGGAAGACATACATTTCCATACCTCAATTAGTTTGTCTCCTTTGACTACATCCAGATGTAAACCAGGTGGGGGTTTACCTGCCCTGAAAAAGAATAAAAAAGGCATTTTCAAGATGAGTTCATAAATGCCATTCACAATCACTGTCCCATTCAACACTGCAGCGATGCTACCAATCTATAATTAGTTCAATTTCAAGCAGAAATGTCATCTACTTCACTGTTATTTCAGCTCCTTTCCACAATGACACTTACTTCCCCAGTGATTCAATTGCTCTAAAACAGATTGTGGTGGATCTGTATTTACAGCAGCACCAACGAAACCTATATTTTTAACACGGCGTTATCTACCTTGGAGAGAAAGATCATGAAGCTCAAGTAAGATAGCTGGGATAGCTGGTCACTGGGAGACTGGTTCTAAAATTTGCCACTACTATCAATACCATACAGGAAGAATAAATGAGTTGCTGTTTTGGGATTACCAAAATGATTCTCATTACAAAATAAGCACAGGTTATTGTCCTGAGCTGAGACCAAATAATTAGGGAACTAGGGCAACAAAGAATCATACCCATGAAATAGGTGCCAAATAAATACAAGAGACATGTGTTGCCCTTCAGCAAATCTTTCCACAATGGCATATAAAGGAACTTTCCTCTATAACCCTATAGGCACACCATTCAAGACTACACAGGTCAAAGTACCTAACTGCCTGGTACACAATAGGCTGAGGATGCGGTGGGTGGTCTCAGTCTCCTCTAACTATACATTTACTGTCCTGGTCCAACTTTTGAAATCAGGGCAGCATGGGACCAAAATGGGTATAGACTTTGTTGACTGAAACTATATTTTTATATTCACTGCCTTCTGTGTTTGTGCCTTTGAGGTCTGAGGAAGGATCTTGTCCAAGGCCCTACATTTGCACACAAAAAGCATCCTCCTCCATCTAATTGAATATGCAACACAGTCAACTCTTCCTCAGTCCCAACTCCTAAAGGCAGCAGTTGAAAGGACAAAGCAACAGATTAAAGCCTATTTTATCTGGGAAACAGGGGAAGGGAAGTTTACATCCAAAGCATACTTTTCTGAATTCCTACTGTGTGTCGCCTAGAAGCTGGGAACACAGTACATCATAAAGCCCTTGCCCTTGCGGATCTGGATGTAATGGGAGAGAGGAGTGATACAATACACTGATGACGTGCAGCAGGAACAGCTCTACCTCGGAGGGTCTCCATGCAAAGCAATGCATATTAATTCATTTTGTACCCTACTCAATGACTAAATTATTCCATTATTTCCAGGAACTTGCGAAGGTTGAAAGGGGTCCACTCCAACAATTACTGATGTCCACTTGTGCCCGACTTCACGCTGGGGGTCGAGAACGTGGAGGTAGGTCAGAGCCGTCCCTCCCCTCAGGGAGCTCCCTGTCTCCAAGAGGCAGACTAGTACCGCACCGGGATGCGCCGACAGAGGGATGCGGGGCTCTGAGGCTGGGCTGGGGGCGGGAAGCCGGCTCGTGCGCGCTCGGGACAGAACAGGGGGGCAGGTACGGTGTTCCACAAGAGCACCAGGCATTCAGTCAGGAGTTGGGGTAAGTTCGGGACAAAAGCCGAAGAGCCCCAGCGCCCGCCTGATCGCCCAAGAGGATGCCAAAGCGCGGGCCTCCGAATCCCCACCACTGGGCTTTCTCAGTTCCTGGGCCCAAGCTCCAGGCTCCCGGCTCCTCCACACGCCGCCCGGCCCGACGGGCAGTTCTCCCTCAATCACTCCCAGGGTCTCTGCGCCGTTCGGCTCGCTGCGAAAAAAATGAGGCGCCCTTTCAGTCCGAGCCAGCACGGGCCAGGCCACTGCAGCCCTGGTTGCCCCGCCACTCACCAGGTCGGGCAGTCGAACAGCGGGAGGCTGGAGCCGGAGTTCGCGGCTGCCGCCATCTTGCGTCTCCCCCTCCCATTTGGCGGGCCCGAAGCACGCCGGGAAACTGGAAGACTGGAGGGAGGCGGGGGGAAGAGACGGCTTCCCAGCAGCCCTTGCGTAAGCGCGCGCACTTACGCACTCACGTATAGGGCGCTTCTAGTGGTGGTGGAGGCTGGGGTTTGACTAAGCTGTTTCGGCTTTTGAGAGTTGGGCTTCTTGGAAGGATGGGAATTTTCTTGGCCGGCAATCATGTGAGAAAGGGGTATCGGTCTCCCCACGCGCCGTCTGGCAAAGATGCCTTTGATCTCTAATATCGTGCGACTCCGACTTTGCTTTGGGTTTGCGTCGTCAGCCTATGATTTCCATCTAGAGAGAAGCTACCGGCAGATCTCGGAGACTGGGATGAGCGCTCATCCAGTTTCTCCTCTTCTGCCATCTCTTGGGAGCTGTGCCCTCATTTCCTCTTCCTAATTCAAATCTGGGACTTGCGAGCTTCTGCATTTGGGATGCAGCCTAAGGGGACCATCTAGTCTATTTATGAAAACTTTGAATTAGCTGGTTTTGAGGGCAGACTCAATAAAGAAGGTAGGCATCCAAATCACAGCATGACTGGAATGGTTAATCAAGTTACAGCCCCATTTGATTTTTAAATTCTGACTTTAATGACTAATTAGTCATTAAAGAAAACATTAGGATTGGGTTTGCTGGAAAACACCATTAATAGGGCTTCTGGTTGTGATGGCTTTGTATAGTGAGTGTCACTTACTTGGTCAAGAAGGTGTTTAATATGGGTCTTCTCATTTAGCCCTCACAACACTTGAAATAGGTTATTATATCATCTTTGAGGGGAAGCTCAAGGAAGCTTAATCCCCAGAGGAGGTTGAGGTGCCTACTGTCACCCTGAACGAGTGCTGGGTGGAATTCAAACCTAAATCATTATGATGCCCAGGGCTATGAACTTAGATGTTGGCATAATTTATTACTAGTATGCAGCTGAGGCCCAACACTTTCTCACTTTCACTGAGGATTTGGGAGGATTATCTGACCCGCAGTTTTCCTTAAAGAAACCAGGTGAAAAAAAAAAAATCAATGTTCACTAAGAAAGGAGAATTGCACAGAGTTCCAGAATCTCTATCATGGAATCATTTCTTGATTCCCTTGCCCCTGGTGACATAGCCAGAATGCAAGATTTTAAGTATCAGCTCTTGGGCAGGTAGCTGATTGGGTAGGTTCATGATTCTGACCTTCAAAAGCACAGTAAACTCACCCAGCAAGATGTCAGCTCATGAGATCATTTACCAATGACCTATTAACATCCTCCTTTCAACCTTGTGATTCCAAAGAAAAGAATAGGGTGATGGGGAAAATACAAACTTTAAGCCAGGCTGTGGCTCTGTTCTTTGAGCATAAGGACATGATGCTTGAGAAGAATTAAGTAGTCTCAGAAGTTGTCTAAGGTACAAGGTGCTTTCATCAAAGTACAGAAACTGTGTGGTCCTTTGAAGTTACATGTCCTTTCAGGGTTGAGGTAATGAAGCCATAATGACTCGATATCAACTCTGCCTTTTCTGTTTGTGTGTGTCCCTTTTGCTTCTGACTGTACACCCAAGAAACCTCAAGCTATATTCTTACCCTTAAAATTCTTTACTCCTCCACCACGCTCCCCGTCGCCAGCAAGGTGACAGTCACACTGGCCTCTGATGTAGCCCCACCTTACATTTACCTAGGCCTTATAAAGCAAAATGCTCTTTGTTTGAGCACCGATGATGTCAGTATGGACAAGCAGACTCTGGAAGCCCTTAATCTCCTGAAGTGAAAAGACTAATGGGTGCTGCCTTTGGATTTTGGTATCTCAAAAAAGATTAATTTCTTAGCCTTTGAGACTTTCTTAGAATAGAATCTAAAGACATTAGGAGCAATACTGATGTCAGAAACTTTCTTTAAACCTCTTTGATAGGAAAGGGATCAAAGGAAGACACACAAAAAAATGTGGGGATAAGATAGAAGCAGGAGGCTTAACTTAGCAGGGGAATGAATGAAAAGTTGGGTAAAAATTACTACTACTACACTTTTAGAGAAATCTTAATGAAAGCAGTGGTGAGCAGCTAGTTTGTTATTAGTGATGCATGGAGTCAGTGGGTTTTGTGTCTGAGTGTTTGAGATTAGCCCCGGCTCCATCACTTCTAATTATGTGCCTATGGGCAGGTTACCGATTTACTATGCCAGTTTCTTAATCCAGAAAAAAAAAAAGAATTCAAGAAAAAGACATCTACTAGATGATTTGTGCAAATGTAAAACATTCAGCATATTATATTGTTGGCAGCAGGAGCTCAAATATTCCACAAATGACCACATGCAAAGCACTGCCTATGAAGAATTTGTCTTTAAATTCTTACATTAGATTTCTATTCTAGGTCTCAGATTTTTCTGTTGTAAAGTGATGGAACTGATGGCCCTCGCCTAGATGAGTGGTTCACTCATCAAAAATGTCATGGTGGGAAAAATGAGTGATACAGGAGTTACCAACTTTCATTTTACCAAATACAGAGACTTTAAAAAGGAGACTCCCATCTAACATCACCTTTATTTTTATAATCTTAAAAAATCCTTTAGGAAAGTTGGAGAGTCATTAGTTTAGACTCAAAGATGATACTTTTAAAAGTCTATTTCATCATTCATTTCTCCAGAGATTGAGAACCACAGTCCAACATTAAAAATGCTATTATTTCGGGCCCTCCCTGGTGGCGTAAAAGGTTAGGACACAGCACTGCAAGCAAGCGGCAGCTGCTTTACTGCAAGTTCGACCCTGGCCTGGGAGGGGACCCACATGGTGCATCAGACCTCTCCTGTCTCTCCCAATGCAGTGTATTTCCTTAATCTGCCTGCTCCCCACTCTGTCTCTGGTGAGTCCTCTCACCGCCCCTGCACCTCTGGCTTATGCCCCAGTTCTGTATGCATAAACAAATCTTAAAAACATTAAAAAAAAAGGGGGGGGGTGAATTGGTACAGTTTAGAGATACTAAAACAAAACAAAACAAACCACCCTATGCCCAAGTGACATGGCAAACTAGCTAAATGAGGGTCTTGTGGCATCAGTATTTAGTCTCAGGTAAAGTCATGGTTAGGAACCACTGTTTTAGACTCTGGTGTACTCAAAGATGAACAAAGCACAACTAAGGAGGATTCCATAAACAGATTTATTAGAAGTATCTAGCAGAACCTGTCAAGCTACTACAAATTCCAGGCCATTCAATTTCAGGTTTGCTACCCATGAGCCCTGTTACCACTACTATGGTATTAAAACGGAGCCACTGTGGCTTTGTTTTCCCAAACTGATATAGCGGTTTCACAGTCAAGGCTTTCTGTTCTCTGGAATGTTACAGATAATGTATCCAAGGCCAGGATCATTTGAGGTTGAAAGAACAGTGACCATAAATCCAAACTGCCTCCTTGGGCCCGATGATCCCCAATAGCTCCATCCTGTTTTTCAAGGACAGGCCACACCTAGCCCACCCCAAACCAGTCCTCACCTGATTGCCAGTCTTCTTGCAGGTTTCGCTTTCTCTCAGGACAGCACATTCTCAGTACCTAATATCCACCACAGTGGGTGTTAATGCATATAAACTGACTACAGAAGGCTTTGAAATGTTTATTTGTATCAAGTGGGAAGAAGTGCTAGAGTGAAACTTACACATTTGGGTCCTAGTTTCTTTACTGTTCGTTTTAGTTTAGTAAAAGATTAGTAGGTAACATTAAAGAGATTAGAAGTAGTACATAAAAATATGTCCCAAATAGTCAACTCCTCTAATTTACTAAGATGAACTGAAATTGTTGGCCCAATTCAAATGTACGTGACAGCCTAAAGTATTCACATTTCCTTTAACCTGTGAAAACGGGAAGAGGACAACATTGATATTACAAGACAGCAATCTTTTATTGAAACATTTTTTGTCTAAAACTAGGCAGGGAGAAGAATCTCTTGTTCATAAATTAGGCTAAATCTAACATCACTCACTATTCCAAACCAGTATTATTTACAAATACGAACCTGTTCTTTGTTTTAACACCAGGTTCACAGGACTAAATTTTACACTAACTTCAGTCTAGCTTTTAAAATCCTCCTGCCATCAAATGCCCAGTAACCCTTAGAGCACGGGGGCAGTCTTGTACAGCAACATTTACCATTCACCAGGAATGTAGAACCACGAATGAACAACAACAAAAATATTGAATCATTCCAAACGATCCCTATTTGCTTTCCAAAAGCATGCTTTGTCTGATTCTCCCTTTCTATACAGACAGGTGGGAGAGCGACTCCTTAGAGTATAGTAATGGTAATTAAATTAACCTTTGCAAAAAGTGACAAGATGGATTAGTGTGCATATGGATATCTGCGGATATCTGCCACGGAGGACACCAGCAGATAAGGAAGAGAACTTCAAACCCAAATTAACAAGTGCCCCAACTGGCCATCGCAAATAGATGCTTCTCTTTTCATCTGGATCAATGTGCAATTTTTTACTCTCCAATTAACCACACTGCAAAAAAAAATTTCAAAACAGATGAAGAACAGCCTTCTTAGAAATTCAAATTAAAATGTCAAATAATAAAAATTGCAGATTCTTACACAATTTCTGACAGGCTCCACAATGCTGGATGCCAGAAAGTAATTCTATTTCAGTGGCTAATAAAAAGGTAAATCTTTATACACATAAAAAGACAATATTACAAGACTGTAGTGTTACCTGTCGAAACAAGAATATCTAAATGGAATTTTCAGTAAACACTTGGGATGAAGGGCAATCAGAATACTAGAGAAAGCAAAGTCCACATAAATTAATTCTTAATTTGAGAAATCAATAAAATGTATACATAAATTGATAAATACTGTCTTCATAGGTCACTAATTCCAAGGACTAGTTAGTAGTTAGTTTCTAACGAAATTATTACAGGACATTGTGGTATATGCTCTCTTCTTATGATCAGTTTGTTCTGGCAAGTCTCCAACAAGCACCTGCCCTTGCAAACAGCTGAGCGGGAGAAGATTCAGGCAATGCTTCATTTGTAAACTATCCACAAAATAAATGCCAGGATTGCAACAGTCACTGTCAGGACAAGCACCAGGATACAGATCTTCTTGCGAGATTTTTTCTAAGGAGAGAAGTATGTCAACAAGACACTCATGAAACAAGTAAAAACGTTTATGCCGCTGACTTCAATCTGCCTCCTGAGAAGGTCTAGAGTACAATATTTATTGCTGAGAATAAAGACCCAGGTAAAAGTTAGAAAATCAGGACCCTCTCTGGTGGTGCAACAGGTTAAGCCACAGCACTATGAAGCTATCAGCAGCCACTGTGGCATGAGTTCAATCCCCGGCCAGGGAGCTGACCCATGTGGCACATCAGGCCTCTCCTGTCTCGCCTGCTATTACTTTCTGCAGTGTATTTCAGTAGCTCCACCTGTTCTGCTCCCCACTCTGTCTCTGATGAAGCCGCTCACCCCCTTGTACCTCTGGCCTGTACCCCAGCTCTTGTATGCACAAATAAACAAAACTTTTTTTAAAAAGTTACAAAAATCAAAATTTCAACTAATATGTAGAAGAATATCATTTTATAGAAAGTAGACCAAATCAGCTGTTTATTCATAGAAAAATAATGCTATCAAAATGTCACCACCTATTTATTCATAAGTAGCAGTCAAGGTTGACTGTATCTGTCCTCTGTAACAAATGGTCAACATAGAGTACCACAAAGCCATACGATGTACCTACCTGTACTGTTCTAACTGAACGAAAATCAGCTGTTTAGGATGTAGAATTAGCTTTACAACTGACACAAGAACATGCTTGATTAAGAGGCTAGCTGTGTAGCCAAGATGCTTCGATACAAGTTTATTCAGGGTTTGATGCCTTTCTGTAGATCTCTTTGAAAAGGGGGAAATACTAAAAATGGAACTGGGACTGCAATCATGACTCTTGCCTCCAGCTTAGGCCTAAGGAAAAGGCTGCTCAGCTTGTCAGTGTGCTCAGATAGCTCCCAGTTATCAGGTAACTATTTTTACCTGGTAGTAAGCAGCTCGCTGTAACTGATCAGTGGCTCTTTCTACATGCACCTCCGAGCTTTCCACATTGGCTTCTATGCTATCTGCAAAAAAGGACAATGGATGTTTTAACACAAGTAGTTGCTTCAAAACAACCAAAGAGAATTCTGATGTTATGGGCTGTGGCTTCATTGCTGCCACTCCAACTATCGAGGCATGAAATCAAATTTACTAACAGCCCTATTCTTTAGAAATAAACAGGGAAGGGGCCTCCCTGGTGGCGCAGGGGTTAAGTCTCGGCACTATCAAGCTATTGGGCAGCTACTGCAGCAACAGTTCAATACTGGCCAAGGAGCTGAACCACATGGCACGGCAGACCTCTCCTGTCCCGCCCACTGCTCCCCTCAGCAATGTATTTCAGTCAATCCACCTGTTCTGCTCCCTGCTCTGTCTCTAGTGAATCCTCTCACCCCGTGCACCTCTGACCTGCACCCCAATTCTTGTCAGCATAAATAATAAAGAAATCTTTAATGAAAAAAAGAAAAGAAACAGGGAAGTATTTAGGGGTGAAAGGTTTTAAAGTAGGGAACCCATCCACAAATGGTTTAGAAGTAAGTAGGCGTATACGTGTATATATAAAGAGAGCGAAAAATACAGCAACTGGAGTAGAATGTTAACAAGAGGCATGTCTGTTGATGAAGGAGATCCTTGTAGTATTTTTATTTTTGTAACATTATAAATTTCAAATTATTTCCAAAGAAAAACTTTAAAAGAGTTACTAATCCTCTAATTGTGCAAATTTCTTGCACTAAAAGCTGAGAAGCTGAGGGACATTTCCTTAAACAGTCAAAGGCTCACCAAGAGGCAAGTGGTGAAGCCAAGAACTCATAATGCCTCACTTTAACGTCTACATGTGACAATTTAAGAAAGTTAATTTAGGAATCTTTAAAATCGCACCCCTAAATTTCTTAAATACATCTTACTGCCTTCTTTGCACACAAATGCTATCAACTCCCTGTCAGGTTAAAGGTATCAATGATACATACCAATCAAATCCCCCTGGTCGTGGATCATCATGGCCAAATCTTTAAATATCTGATTCACATCCAAAATGTCAGCCTGAAGAGCAAGAAAACAATTAACTAACATACTAGAAGGTCCATTTCCTCTACTTAGCAACAGTTTTGGCCATCCAATGTGTTGCTGTTGTATTAATTTTTTAATACAAGTTTTATTGATTTTGCCAATTGCATAACTATGTAATTCTGGGAGAACAACTTCACCATTCACATGTGTATGGGCCCATTTTTAAGCTAGACAAAATAAGAATTTCACATAGGAAAAGGGGCAGAGAACTGGGGCATTAAAAACAAAGTCTTCTCCAAGTGATTCCAACGTACACCCAACTTTTCAGAGCTGCTGGCACAGATGAAGGCGAGGATGGAGCTCATTGTTTCTCCCTGTCCTTCCCATCTGCTCCCCTCGGGGTGGCAGTCTTCTACCTCCACAGGGGAGAACTATCCTATTTGAGGATCTTTTACCCATATCGTGCAAAGTTGGGAACTCAGGTGAGAAAGGCCAAGAGATCCCTCCCTCAATGTTCACCTCAAAAACTGCTTCTACTTCTCAGACCTGCTGAAATTGGGATTAGACTTTGGAATGCACAAATATGGAGGCTGGTTTTTGGCCTGCCTTTATTCTGGGTTATTCAAACTAAGCAAAGGGCCTCTCCACAGGGCTTGACCTAACCTGGAGGTTGGCACTGAGGTTTGGGGGCAAAATCTTTGTGAGCAATAAAACATTTGTTTGCTTTGCTCTCTGCATATTACGTGGAGATCACATTAAGATATGGTGACTGAGGAAAGGACTGGGCAGTCTTGGGCACCACGGCTGGAACCATTCTAATGGTAGTTCACACTGACCATGATTATTGTGAGACACCATTTGCATAACACACAATGACTCACTTCATGCTTTTCCATAATCCTGGATTATGAAGTGCAGTTATATCAAGTGAGACTAAAAAAACAATCTGGCTCTCACCTCCAGCTGCCGGATTGCCGTTTCCCTCTCTTTAATGAGCTCCAGATCCTGCTCAGTGATGGCCACCTCTTCCTCTTGGCTCTGCATCTGGTTCCACTCCTCATGGCTGCAGGGAGGCAAGCAGACCAGTTGGCTCCTCCGCCCTGGGGTGTGCATAAGGCACATCTACAATGTCTCTGCTGCCAGCGGCGCCCAGCACGGACCGCCCAGGCTCCAGCTCCTCTGGTAACACTAGGAAGCTCCTCAGGGCCCACCTTTCCTATCTAGAGATACTGAGTTGACAACACAGAGAAGACAAAGTTTCTGCTTCCAGAGGCAAACTAAGATAAAGTGGGATTATGAGGGATGAACTTGTTGCTGTTTCTACTTGGGTACATGGTGCAGTCTTGCTAGAGCGTGCTGGGCAGGGAAAGAACAGACACTTGAAATGAATGAACACTACTAGATCATCCTCTTCCAGAGCGGTGTCAAAGTGCCAGCTGAGTTGGTATCTTGAGTGCTCAGTGGTTGGAGGAATGCAGGCTAAGTGACCTGTCAAACTCTGCCATTGTGTCCCAAAGAACCCCATCTTGCCGGATGCACCTGTGATCCAACTATTCCAGAGGCCGAAGCAGGAGGAAGGCCGGTGCCCAGGAGTTCTGGGCTGTGGTGCCAACAGGGAGTCAACACTACATTCCACGTCAACATGGTGAGCTCTGGGAATAGGGGACCACACCAAGCTATCTAAGGAGAGGTGAAATGGCCCAGGATGAAATGGAGTAGGTCAAGAATCTCATCGCCCAGTTTTCAGGGGTTTCCTTGAGGTTCGGTTTTGGGTTAAATGTCTCTTAACAGAAAACTAAAGGAAAAAACTAGTAAAATGTTGTAACTCTGGGCTCTCCCCAGTGGCACAACAGGTTAAAGCTCAGACTATGAAACAATCTGCAGCATGAGTTCCACTCCCCGCCAGGGAGGGGACCCACATGGCGCAGCAGACTTCTGCTGTCTCCCCGGCTGCTCCCTCACAGTGTATTTCAGTCAATCTGCCTGTTTTGCTCTCCACTCTGGTGAATCCTCTCACCCCCCACCCCCACCCTGTACCTCTGGCCTGTATCCCAGTTCTTGTATTCATAAATAAATAAATCTTAGGGGGGAAAATGTTATAACTCATCTTCAGGTAACATATTTAGAAAAAAGACATTCAACATGTTAAACTAGACATGAAGTGCTTTGAAAATCCAGTATTATACATTTCCCAACAGTGTGCATGAATAAAGCATCTCCACAATATTTAAACAATTTCCTCCACGTGACAGAGACATAAAACTGAGTAGCCAGAACTCCCCAGGACTTTGGGATGCTAACAGTGTAGTGGGAAGAGACAGATACATATCTGTGATAGAAAATTTTTAGTGCTGAACTAATACCATGCCTACATTTCTATGAAATTAGTTAATTTGCTATGGAAAAGTTAAGAAAGGAGACTTTTTTAATGATAGAAATTGTTTGTTTCCTTTTAGCAAAAAGAAAAAGCATCCTTTTCCCTAGAAGGATGAGTTGCTTTTATTTTAGAGATGAGTAAACAGAGATCCAAGAACTCTGAATACTTAATACCTGAATTAGACGTAAATGATTTATTGAGTTCCTAGCCTATAGGCTTCTGGGTTTGTTTTTATTCCTGTGAACCAAATTCTCTCCCTATCACTCAGACATCAATTTTTTATTCTCAGCCATTTTTATTCATCTTGAAATTACTCCTTCCCTAATTCACAAATCTTGGAAAAGTCTATGATTTTGACTTTTAAATTTTATTCGGTGGGTTATAAGTTACACAGCCTGGGTCGCCTTTTAGTTTTCCTTTTTTTGACTTTTAAAATTAAAAATAAGCATAAAGAATAGACTCCCATTCTCATCTCTTCTGCAGGTTGTGTAAATAATCCCTTTACCTGTCAAATGAGACGAGCTGCTCCTCTCTTTGCCTCTCCTCCGCCTAGAAAGCAAATGGCATTATTGCTGCTGTTATCCAGAAACAAGTCATAGGCAGACGCAGAAAGTAACGGCTTCCTTTAGCCACAGTATAAAGAAGCAATGTCCCCTGGGCTCCAACGGGGTCTGTAAGGTGACCACAGAGCTCTGGCCATCTATCTCAACTAGGAAATGAATGAGAAGTAGCTGCAAGCCATCGATAATCCAGTTTGGACCCAAAACAGAAACGGCACTGAACAGAATGGGCTGAACAGGCAGAAGAGAGGGATTAAAAATAATGATAACCTATTTTAAAATTTGGAGGGAGCTAAATTAAGGGAAAGAGTCAAAAACTTTCAAGGAAACAAAATTTCAGAACAGGTAAAGATTTATTTATTCAATAGCATAATAGGCATGAAAGTGGCCGACTCACTTTCAAAGTCAATCTTATGCATGCATTACTTTCTAATTGGAAAACAAAAAAAAATCTAAAAAGCAATCTATTCCATTTTAAAAATGAAACAAAGCAAGAGAAAAGATATGACTCAACTAAAGTGAACCTTAGAAATTTGACTGCAAAACTGAAGCTACCAAAGGTGGAAGGTGCAGTGTGGACAGTGAAGTGGGGAGAGCCCCAAGGACGGGGACGGGGAGTGTGTGGTGGTGGGAGCAGCGTGGCAGATGTACAGTTCTCTCTAGCGCAGAACAGCTGGGTCTTTAGGTATGCACGTGTTCTGAAGATACGGCCCAAATGTTTTCCAAGGGTGTTCCAATTCACAGTGTCACCAGCCAGGCAGATAGGAAAGGATTAGAGCCATAAAAACCACCCTCGGTGTTCCAGATGTAAAAATTTTTGCCCTTCTTGTTGACTTGAGATAGTATCTTCAATCCCAGGGCTACCACAGGTGTCGAGACCCTTTCCACACAAGGCCTTTTTTCCTTATGAAGCCATTAAAATTATTAATTAAATCTCAACATTTCAATAAAAGTCAAAGGTCTGTAGAAACAGGAAGTTTACCTAAACTACTTCTATTGCATTTAGAATGTTTGCTTTAAAGAAACAAACATAATTGAGATGCAGAATGAGCTAGCTACTTTTTTAGGGAACATCATTTACTTATTCAATATAGTTTATATATAAAACTTTTACAACATTTTTAATAAAATTTGTTTATAGTCATGTATATTTCATATATTCATATATAAGGTGACAACCTATGGTCATTCAGATGGGCATTTGACAAACAAGTTCTTAAACAATGTGAGCTTGTCACTTTAAGGAAACTAAGGACAACATTTATTGCCAATGATAAAAATATTTATATTTTCCAAATAATAAATTCCAGAAAAGTCGTATCAATCATGTATGGAGTAGAGTTGCCCCATATTTAAAAACTGAAGATGTGACTTTTTTTAAGGCACGAAAAGTGGATGCTGCTCTTGAGTAAAATATCCACGGGGTCAACCCCCCAGTGCTGGTTATGATCTGGAGGAATTTTCTGAGCAAGAGTTAGCTTTAGTTGTTCTTCAAAAGGAGGTTTATCAAAACCTTCCTAGCCCACCACATTGTGGATGGAGTTGGCAATATGTGATTTTTTTGGATAATGAAATGTATCAGCATTTGGGAGACCTGCAAAACTTGGGTAACCAGTATTTTTCCAAATGATAAAAAAATGGTGTTACAGAATCACATATGGAATAAAACTCAATCAAATATAAGAGCAACAGGTTTTAATGTATGAAAAACTCAATACAGTTTTTGATTTCAAACTGCAACTAAACTTTTGTCATGTTCTGATATAGTATAAAGGGCATTATCTAGTGATCTGAAGAGATTAATTATAACACTCCTTCCTTTTCTAATTATATATCACTGTAAGGCTGGGTTTTATTCTGATAGCTCAATCAAAACAACATATCACAACAGGCTGAATACAGAAATAGATCTGAAATCTTTGTTAGCGTCTGCTAAGACAGAAAAAAGATTTGCAGAAATGAAATAATGCCACTCTTCCCCCTAAATTTTTTCTTGTTTTGGAAAATTATTCTTTATTAAAATCTTATTTACATTACTCTACAAGAGTAAATGTGCTGAAGACCACTTTCTGATACAACTTACTGTCTGGATTTCCCCTTCTCCACCACTGCGCAGCTCAGTACTGCTGCAATCTTTCCGTCATCTGCTAGGGGAAGGGCTTGCTTTAGGTTTACTCATGCCTGATAGACACAGTCTTTTAGTGCCAATGTGATTTAAGGAGCACACTGTAGATCCTCCACCCTGCATGGACCCTGAGAATTTCCTTCATGTCAAGGGTACATCAAAACCAAAGTCTGCCATCAGTCATGGCATAACCACAGAGACATGTTCTGAAAAACGCACTGCTAGGTCACCCCGTCATTGTGCCAGTGTTGCAAGCTACCTACATAACCTGGTGTTGAGCCCGGATGCAGCAGACTCCAGCATGTAGCCTGGTAGGACCACAATGCTGTACACGTCTGTCCCTGAATGAAACATTAAGTGACATGTGATATAAATGTGCTCAGGGCAAAAGCATTTGGTGCGTGCTTATCTCTATGGGTTCTCATCTTCTCTTAGGTCTTGACCTTCATGTTTTCATGGCTCTTTGATATTTTTGAGAAGCTAGGTGATAAACTTCTTTTCAAAGAATGAGCTGCATTCTAGGAAACAAATGCATTCATTTTCTCTTTTTAAGTTTTCTGAGTTAAGGCCGGTGTCACAAGAAAAGAGTACTCACACAAATCTACCTGTCACTCTCATCACCTCTGTGCTCCTTTCTAGTCCTTGACATGGGGTATGCTTAGTTTTCAATAGGGCATTTTTCACAGTGGCTAATGTCTATGTTTATTATGTGGGGGTAAACAAAGGCTGATGGTCAAAGAGGAAAAATAACCTTAAATTGCAAAGATCTTCTTTTAGGAATAAACTTACAGAAAGACGAGATCCAGCTCTTGCTCTGGCAATACTCTCCTTCTCCTTCTCAGACACCCTTCTCTGCACAGCCTGGAAACTGTTTAAGGCTGTAGAGAAGTCATTCATGAGGCGTTCCTTCTGAAGTTTCTGCTGGCGCTGAGGAAATTAAACAAGAACTTGAAATTTTACATTAACCCTGGACTCCCATTAAAAGAAAAATTATACCCCTAGAGATTTCCAACTAGGAAAATTACTATGAAATAGGCTGTCCTTAAATTATAAATTTGCTCTTTGCTAACTTAATCCCTGGTTAATATTACAGGCCGAATCAAAGTTTCCTTTTGTTCCTTCCAACAAACGTGGGAGCTGACAGCCATTTACCTTGTAAAAGAATCTCAGAATTGAGAATTTTGGTTCCCTAGAGAAGCTACAACTAGAATTGATATCCTTGGACTCAAATTAAACCCAGATACTGTTATTTGAGCCAAGGCCTTAAAACAGTCTTTCTCTATACTAGTCCACAGCTTCCCTGAAAATCATGAATCATTTTCCTTTACAGTTTGGTGAGGTTTAAAATCTTTGAGGAGCCCAAAACTAGGTGATGGAGCTACAGGCTACCTTCACTAAGGTTACTGGCGGTATGTCTCAGAAAACACTGAGTGCATACTCTGTGTAACTGGGAACACAGCAATAAAACACTCACCGGCTCACTGCTTACTTGGAATAAAGGATATTGTTAGGCAAATAAAATCATCATCCATTATGGTCATATCCAGTTAATACTGTAGGAATTCAGAGGCAGGAAAAATCAGTAAGACTCAAGTGGTCAAGAAAGACCTCAAGAGGAAGTGGCCTCTGGAAATCAGGTGTAACGAGGCAGGAAGGGAAGAGAAACCCAGGCAAATGGAACATTGGCCACCACGGCACTGAAGAGGATCTACACCAAGGAGGCTGACAAGAATCTACACCAAAGAGGCTGGTGAGAATCTACGGGGTGATAGTGTGGTTGGAAACAAAGTTTTTTCATGAGTGTAGCTAAAACTGGAAAGGCAGGTAAGGGGCCGACCGTAGCTGGTTTTAAATGCCAACTAATGAGTTTGGGATTCAACCTGTAAAGAACAAAGGACAATAAATATTTCTAGCAGGGAACGTGGTGAGTCCAAAATGATAATTTAGAAAAATTAGTCTGTGATAATGTACACGATGGAATGAAAACTGAAAGTCAAAAAAATGAACTCCAGTAGTTGAGGCTTAAGGTTAAAAGGACATGGTATCAGCCACAGGAACACAAAGAAAAGAATTTAAGAAACATGATTTAGTGACTGTGGGAGAAGGGAGATAACAACGATTTCAAATTTTGAAATGTTGGTAATTTTGAATATTGAAATAGTAATATTGAAAGTAAATTCAGATAAGCAATTGTTCTTCCTCTTTTGGGGATTTCTGCCTAAGTAACATTATAAAAACTGAGGGGTGGGGGACATCATTCCCCAATCTCACTACCTAAAAATACTACCTTTTAAGTATATCATAAACATTTTCTGTTATAATATTCCATCAAGTTGATGCAGTAATTATTTAAACATTAATTCTATATGGTTCCTAGTTTTCAACTCATAAATTAAGCTAAATTGAGCCCCAAAGTAAAAGCTAATATAGTACTTACCCATGTACCTTACAAGTACTACATAGTAACTCATTTATTCATACTACAATCTATAAAGTAGGTACAATAGTGCCCATTTTATACATCAGAAAACCAAGAACAGAAAGGTTTAGTAATATGCCCAAGGTCACACAGAAAGTGTTAGAGGTGGAATCTAAATAGAGAAAATAGGTTCCAGAATATATAGGTACCTCTCCCCTTGCCCCCAAGATAAATTTGCATTAGTGGGAATATTATTAGGTCATAAGGCAGACATCTAAAAATACATATTATCAGTCAGCTTAGCTAGTGGGTGAAGCTTGAGAAACATGCTCAATTTTAGCTGGTATAGTCAAGGGATGTTTCAGTAGAAAGTGCCAGCATGATCCAAGTACTTAGAGGTTTAGCAACTTAGAGGCTTAGTACTTAGAAAGACCTGGGGGTCATGTTCACAAAGGTGACAAGGAGCTCAGAAGGTAGGTAAGATTCCTGAAGGAGAAGCAGAGAGCGAGAAAATCAGACTATCCCAGGCTGGCCCTTGTGGCATGTCCACTTCTCCGAAGCTTTAGTCAAAGGATGAGGATGAGACTCAGCCTGGGATATGAAAAAATAGCCAGGGAGGCACCACCAGAGTTGGGGGACAGCACGAAAGGGGATTTAGAAAGAACAGAGTTTCAGTGGAGACAGGATGAGGAAGAAGATCAAATGAAACACAAGAAAAGTAAATAAAATTTTCAAAAAGTTCACCAAATTTAGCAATTTAGATCACCACTGATGAAAGTACCTAAATATGGTTTGATGTAAAGGACAGTAATTAGATGGAAAAAAAGTTAAACAGAAAGGTTATTCAGCACTATGAAGAAGGGAATCAGGAATTATATTTCACCAGAGAAGAGTATGTCTATATCTATTTTATATTACTAATGAGCCAAGATAATGGAAGGGAATGGTAGCATACATAATCCAAAAATAACCTCTATTTGGTTTTAGAAGACATTACCATGCATTGGGGGGTGAGGGGTGGGGGTGGATCGCAGATTTAATTTTGTATTTATATTTTGCTTAGGCTATTATTTAACTTTCTTTTTTAAAGATTTATTTATCTTTGCATACAAGAACTGGGTGTGTGTGTGGGGAGAGGGCTGAGTAGATTGATGCTGAAATGGCTTTAGCTTCTCAGTGCTGTGCCTTAACCCGCTGCGCCACCAGGGAGGGCCCAGGGTGAGTAGATTCAAAAGAGACAGAGTGGGGAGCAGAACAGGCAGACTGACTGAAATACACTGCTGAGAGGAGCAGTAGGTGAGACAGGAGAGGTCTGCTGCGCCATATGGGTTCCCTCCCTGGCCAGGGATTGAGCTGGAGCTGCAGTGGCTGCAGAGAGCTTTATTGTGCTGCGCTTTAACCCAATGCACCACCAACGAGGTCCTGGCTATTATTTAACACTTAAATACTTTCAACACTGTCTTTGCATCAGACCTTTAGACTTCCTTTTTGTTACTACTAAAACTATCCACAAGTGTGGATTCTCTAGGCACATGGCTGGAGAAGGAAAGGAGCTACAACCACTTGGATACAGTGTGGCAAAGGGTCAGTGTAACAACAAACCCAACAGCACACACATGGACAACAAAAGCTGAGTTCATCAGATGACTTTTCATAACTACTTTGTAGCAAGATGACAAAGCATCTAGTCTTGGCTCTTCTCTTTTATGCAAGGTTGTACTCAAGCTCCAAATACCGAATATATTCATCATTAAATATTAGCCATGTATGGGCTAAACTAGCAATTTTCAAACTTTTTTGATGGAAACCCACAGTAAGAATTTGACATCTTGACCTATTACCTGTTACCCACATCTGTATGCAACAAGAAGTTCACATAACAATATTTACCCTTGTTACATGGGACACATATTGACATTTTTACTCTATTTTACCTTCTTAAATTTTTTTATTAAGAATGGCCCTCCCTTGGCCCTCCCAAGTGGCGCAGCGGGTTAAAGCACTGCATTGAGAAGCTAAAGCCACTTCCGCATGAGTTCGATTCCCGCCTGCCCCGGAGGTGACCACATGGTGTGGCAGACCTCTCCTGACCCGCCCGCTGCTCCCCTCAGCAGTGTGCTTCGTCGATCTGCCTGTTCTGCTCCCCACTCTGTCTCTGGTGAATCCTCTCACCCTCCGCATCTCTGGCCTGTACCCCAGTTCTGTACAAATAAATAAATAAATATTAAAAAAAAAAAAAAGAATGGCCCTCCCTGGTGACCAAGGGGCTAAGTCTTAGCATTTTCACTGCTCTAGCCTGAGCTGGCGCCCTGGCCAGGGAGCTGACCGACATAGGGTGCAGCAGACCTCTCCTGACTGGCCCACTGTTTCTCTTAGCTGTATATTTCAGTAAATTTGCCTGTTTTGCTCCTGGCTCTAACTCTGGTGGGTCCTCTTACCCCTTGCACCTCTGGCCTACACCCAAGTTCTTATATGCATAAATAAATAAAAATAAATCTTAACAAACAAAAAACCTATAATCCTTGAAAAAAACACTAAAATTTATGTTTTAACAGCCTCAACTCACAGGCTGAAAAACAACACAGGTTAGAGTAGTTGTAGGCTTTGTTTTTGGAGCCATAAGAAATACAACATCATTGTAAAAACTTACAATCAAAAGCAACATGAGTGCCCCCCAGAGTGGTACAGAAGCTAAATGGAGTCACACTGGTTAAGGCCATTGGAAACAGTTTTTCTACTGGGAGAGAGGATTTGAGACAGATCAGGAATGACAAGTAAGAGCCAGGAAGTGTGGAGAAAAGACAACAAATCCCAGTAAAAAGTGTGTGTTTTTAAAAGCTTCCAGTGGTTACTGAGTAAAATGACTGGAAGAAAGAGATCTTTCTCCCTGAGCGCTTCTTAACCTGAGTCCTACGAATGATTCAAGATGGACATGAAAGCGATTCAAAATATGAAATGTCAAAACATTTGACATTTACAGACTAGATTTGACATTTACGGACCAAGCCTACAAGCAGACCCCAGTGAGATGCAGCAATGACAGTCTTTCTCATTTAAAGTCATTTTATTAACAGGTCAATAATACGTTATTGCTGATAACAGCAACAGCCAGCACATAATGACGGCCTCCTGGACACTGGGCACCTGGCCTGATCTGCAGCACATGTGGCTCTTAAGTCACAGCAGCCACCGACCCCCAGCTTCTAGATAAGGAAACTGAGGCTCAGCAGCCCAACCAACAGCTAAGTTGTTTCAATTCTACTTACTGCCTTTCCATTAAAACAAAATCCTTTCCGCAAACAGACAACATCCACAAAATACCAACCTGTTCAGAAGTAGATAAAGGGAGAGGCAAGGATCCTAATTCCTTCAGTAATTCATTTGTTTCCTTAGCAAGCTGATTTGTAGAGTGTTGTAACTGTTGCCTAAGAGGAAAAAACACAACAAAAAAACCCTGTTTTAGGACAGTCTTGCCTTTTGGAACCTGTGATAGTTAGCATCACTTCCTTCATGGTGTCCACAACGCAGGGAACAAAAGAGCATTTGAGAACTTGGGTTCTTAGATGCCCAAGTCCAGAAACACTATCTAGTCAAGCCCACTTCAAAGTATCTGTATGTTACTGAGTAGAAAGAACCTGCTTCAATGGAACCTGCTGAAGGAAGCACAGGTCAGGAACTTTAAGTCTTTGGGGAGAAAAGAAAAGCCCATCAGTAGTTCTGAGAGACTGTAACACCAATCGCCATCACTTTTACAAGTAATGGTTTTAGTACATGAAACTCACACATCTCCCTGACTCAACCGCCCCGGAGCTGTGTGGCTTTGCGTCCCTTCACTGACTAGGGCAGAAGCCAGGTCTGGCGGCTGGAGGAAGTGTGCTTCTAGAGCACAGCTTCTACGCCAGGGAGCAACCTCTGAATTCAACTCGCACATTCATGCTTGTTCAGCTTTATCCTTGGCTTGTTACCTGGGCTTTGTGCTCGACTTCTTGGCTCTTTTCTCCAAAACAAAGAAGTCTTATGCTGTGTAAAAATATGTACGGGGTAGAGAGGAAGGGAAAGGAAAGAGGGAAGGATAGGTAACGGGTTGAGTGGGATGGGAAAGCAGTACAAAGACAGAAGACCCCTTCCACTCCGGCTCCATCTCCTCTGTGGCCACTGGTACAAGGTTCTGAGGGAGGCCAGAGAAGCCACACTACCAGCTGTTACAGTTTTTCACTACTACGAGCTCGCCAAGGTAAAAACGACAATGAGGGAGTCGAAAACATGAGGAAGTAAGTTAAGAAGAGCCTGTACATCCCAGAGAGTATAAATATGCCCAGGTATTTCACATCTTTCTGGAAAAAGCTCAAAGTGGCTACTCATTCTCTCACTTTGTAATGTTTAGGACAGGAAACAGAAGTTATTGCTCAGTGTATCTCAAAGATGAAGAACAGGACTGAAAACTGATATGGATTCAAGAAGGATGTAATTCAAAGCATCCCAAGTCCCTGCCAGCCCACTGTTCTCTCCCTCACATGAGCCAATCTTTCTCATGGTAACAGTGGAAAATCTAGCTAGGGCAGATGAGCCCTGCAGATTATCAGGAGTCATTTGCTGTCTAGGAAGCTCAGCTAAGCAAATAGTTTATTTTGGATGATAGGAATTCTCTTTTCTGCTTCCCTAATTTGTTCTGCTAAACTGCCCAAGGGGAAAAAAAATAAGCAGAATTCAAGGACTTAAGAGAGGCACAGATCAAAGCCATGCATTTCTCTGTAGCCCTCTATACCCCTCTATCACCAATGGCCTGTTGCCTCTTGTTCTGACTTCACAGGCCTGGCTGCCATGCAGCCACGACACTAAGCATATCCCCACAGGGCCCTCATAAGACCCAGGCTTGTTAGAAAGTTACTCACAGATTTTCCTGTAGTTTGCTTGAGTCCTGCTTAGTTCCTAGTTGGCCCATCAAATTCTTTATCTGTGTAGCTGGTAAGAGAGAGGGGTAAAAAGATTTATTAAAAGGAAACACCCTACTTCCCTGATCATGAGCACCCTACTTCCCTGATGGCTGGTCTCTTCACACCCCAAATAAGGACACCTAACTAACAGAAAGCATGCTGTCAGCAAAACCTTGGCATTTATACTCCCCCCTAAAACTACCGGCAAGGTTCACTTCTCCCCAGTAGATTAACTATGTCACTAGGTAGGCAGAGGGTGGCAGGGTTTTTTTGTCACCCCCAAAGAACTTCCAGATTTCCAGATTTTCCATGGCTAAAATGTTCATGTCATTAAAAGGTCTTGATATCAAATCTGTAACAATAAAAATTAGACCCACTAATATACAATCACTTTCCTACAGCAAACATTTTTTGAATGCATATTTTTGGACACTGAATATTTACTATTACTAACAAATAACAACTGATTGAGCACCTCTGTGTGTGGGATACTGTATCTATCACATTAACTTCCAAAACAACAGCCTGAAGTAGCTATATCTCCAATTTTCAGAGGAGGAAGTGTAGTGAGAGAAGTATTTTATATCAGGGTACTCAATTAAGGAACAAGCAGAATCAGAAAGTTCAATCCTAGGCATGTCAGACATCCATGCCAGTATTCTTTCAGCAACGCTGTCTACAGGCAAATACAGTTTTATTCAGACAACTCTTTACCTGCACTAGACTACTAAGAGCAGGAGTGGCCATGTTGAATCCAGGATTTTTTGGTTTTTTTTAAGATTTATTTATTTATGCTTACAGAACTGGGGTACAAGCCAGAGGTGTGGTGAGTGAGGGGATTTACCAGTGACAGAGAGGGGAACAGAACAGGCAGATCTACTGAAATACACTGCTGATGGGAGCAGTGGGCAGGTCTGGAGAGGTCTGCTGCGCCATATGGGTCAGCTCCCTGGCTGGGGATCGAATTCGTGCTGCAGTGGCTTCTCAGTGCTTCATAGCACAGTGCTTTAACCCATTGCACCACCAGGGAGAACCCTGAATCTGGGATGTTTAAGGTCCTAGTCATGGACCAGGAGGGTCAGAGGTGCAGAGGAAGGAACCACTCATCCAGGGGGAAGCACTAACACCAGCCTGCCAGAGAATCTGAGCTCCCTGATGCTCACAGGTTTCTGCAGTAGGAATACAGCCCTTGATCTCTTTTGTGCCCTGCTTTTTAGTGTATCCAGTTGGCAGAGAGGGTTGAGGGAGATTTACTCATTTATTCACCATTCTCTTGTAGCAGTTGTAATTTTGCTGTATGATTTTTTTTTTGCGTGCTTGTTTGCTTGTGTCTTCTAAAAAAAGCATTCATTGTTTCCTATTCCAAGTAGCCAGAGTACAGAACATAATACTGCTTTTTGCCCAGAAAAAAAAAAACAAAAACGATTATCTTCAAGTTCAAGTGTCATAAGGTCATCAAGAGATAATATAGATATACAATAGGTATGTGGCTCCACCAGCCAAAAGACATTCTCCACTGTAGGGATCTGTCCTGTTTTCTCAGGATTAATGTGAAAAAGTCTCGTGACACCAGGCTGCTAAAGTCTTGCTTTGTGGAAGAAGATGAGAAAAACAAGGCATATTATTTAACTTACGTATACATTATAGGGACAATATATATATAACATTTACAGAGTCAATGAGAAAGAACCCTCACTTATTGGAGTTATTAATTAAAACAACTGTTCCTTATGATAGAATACACCTAAAAATAAAATCTGGGGATTCACGATCATAATCTTGTTCCTAATTTGGTCACCAAGAGCAGTAAAAAGACAAGCTAAGTTTTGAAGTATCAATTACCTTACAGAAACACTGATGTTAGGAACCTCTAATTCTGAGAAACAATAATTTAGCAAAGATCCCTCTGATTGATTGCTAGGTGACTACTCTTAGGTAGAAACTGAAAACCTAGTGCAATATTGTGATTTACAGGAAAAATACAATTGGAGATTCAAATGAGCAAAATATATTTCTCTACACATGTGGTCTTCATCCATTATTTAGATCCTAGAAATTACCTGAGTGTTGAGAGTAATAAAGGTGTCTTTTTACATTGATTATCTGGCTTTTGGGGCCCAGCTAAGGATCGGAGCTAGCTGCCCAGTGTGACTAGAGGGCTGAAACTTCCAGTTCCATCCAACCCCTGACCCAGGCCTCCAGGGAGGTCTAGGTGAAATCAACCCCCAATGCACAGTGATTATTATCCATCATGCCTAAGGAAGAAGGTCTCCACAAGGGGTTGGGTCTATAGCCACAGCAGCACAAGTTTGATCCAGGGCCAGGGAGCTGGCTTGCCCTCTGCTCCCCTCAGCGAGCTGCCTGGTCTGTTCCCCACTGTCTCTGGTGATCCTTTCACCTCCAACCCCCAACCCCCAGCTCTTATATTTAAGTCATAAATAAATCTTTTATATATATATATATGTATGTATGTGTATATATATTTTAACAGTTTATTTTTATATCATTTTGTACATTTTTTTTCCATCTCAATTGTAATCCCCGTAGGTTTCCCATCACCAAGTCACCCGTGTGCCATCACCATAGTAATAAATCTTTTTTTTAAAAAAAAGAATATATGGGGTTATAACACTTCAAGTTACAATTAAATCTTATTTTCAAACCATGTTTTTCTAGCAAAACTTTAACTTCAATTTTTATGATAGAGGATATAGGAGGATTCTCTTGCCTTTCAATAAACTTCCCTAAAATAGATATGTATTCTGTTGAGGATTTTCTAATTCAGTGGCTACACAGGAAAATGTCAGCACTGTAATTACTAAATTTTGCTAAGACAGCATTATATAAGATATAAGTACCACTAGTTGGAGGAATTTCCTTTTTACCTAGGTAAATGGCGATCACTAAAGCTATCAAATATCAAGCCCTATAAATAATTCATGAGAGAAGGCAGACCTTAGCATTTACTAGACATTGGGTTAGGTACCTGATGTAGTATAATAAATGTATTTGGTCTTTGTTCTGGCTCCTGGCCCAGAGATCTGGTAAACCCATGGAATATCCTGACTGATGAGAGTATACTTTGTTATTCATAAAGAGTTATTCATACTGAGCCCATGTTAACAAGGTGACTTAAAGTAGGTCCCCTAGACAGCCTTGAGCGGGGTGGGACTGGTCATGAAAATGATCAATTTATTAGTCCCACCCACCCATCTCTGTGAAGGGAAATAGGGGTTGGAGGTGGCAGATTAAACGCGACAAAGAGCATAGAACTAGATCTGATTAATTTCCCAGTTGGTGAAAGAGCACAAATGCTAGGTGGGTGTTATCCCAGAGAGAGGATGGGTGGTCCGGGCCCTTTCCTACATGACTTGTCCTAGCATCTATTTCTAGCTGGCTGTTGCTGATTTATCATTCATGATAAACCTGTAATCTAGTAAGGAAATGTTTCCTGAGTTCTGTGAGTCACTCTTGTAAACTAATGTTAGCTGAGGAAGTCATGGGAACCCCCAATTTATAACCTGTTGATCAGAAGCACAGGTGACAACATGCAGCTGGCATCTGGAGGGGCGGGGTAACCTTAAGGGCACACTAGCCTGTGGGATCTAATACTAACTCTGGGCAGGCAGTGTGAGATCTGAGTTAACTGTACAACACATCATAGGTGTCAGGAAAACCTGAGAATTGCTGGGAAAACCCACATATCTGTTGTCAGATTAAAATACTGGCAGAGGAAGCACTGGAGTGTTTTTTCCTTTATACTTGAAAAATATCATCCTATTTGGTACCAACAACCCTTGAAAAAACACTCATACAATATTACAGATGGGCTCACTGAGGCTCAAGGGAGCTACAGAGCTCATTCACTCACGCTCTCCTGTTCTAAGCTCTCTAGAAGGCAAATGCTATCTAGAAGTTTATTCAAAGTGACAAGTGCTATAAAGAAAAATTAATTTAGGTAAGAGCTAAAATGCACCAGAGTGGGAGGGAACAAGATGAGTACAGATGGTCAGAGACGACATCCTCTGGTAAGATGGCGCTGAGCCAAGATCTCAGGTGAGAGTTGAGGCCGTGCACATGCCTGGAAAGTTTCTAGCAGTGAGGGTATTAAGTACAAAGTTCCAAAGGCAAGAGGGTTGGTGTACTGGAGGCTGGCATGACTAGAACAGAGTAAGCAAGAGTGGTGAGAGAAGAAGCCCAAGAGGGAGGGGACCCAGATTGTATGTGGCCTTGGCAGACTTCAAATTTTAATGAAAGGGGAAGCCACTGAAGCGTTTTGGGCCAAGTGTCCCTGCTGGCTCCAATGGCTATCTTCTTTGTGCCACATTATGTTCTCTTAAAAGGTGGACACGGAAAGGAAATAAAATGTAGTAACAAAGGGCAGGCCTTCAGCTGCTCCACGCCCTGCCTATCTGATAGCTCCTGGATTTAATATAAGCTCCCTGCTCCAGAGAGGCCGACGTCCTTGCTCTAACCTGTTCCTTCCACAATTCCCTCCCATTTGGGGGCATATTCCAGCGTATACACCAGAGTCCAGCAGAGTGCCAGATACTCAGTGGGTTCATAAATAAATGGCCTGGTTCAGTTAACCTCTCATAATATTTTCTTTAGGCAAAAGAGATGAGTAAACAAGAGCTAGGAGACCTGAACTCTACGCCAGACTTGACCATTTCATTTTGCTGGGTTGCTTTTTCACCAATTGTTTTTGATACTCAAGCTTAACATATTCATCACTTATTATTTATCATAGTTACTTACTATTTGTGTGGGCTGGTTTTTATATTTCTCATAAAAGCAGCTATGGGATGACTAAATGAGCTGTCAGTCCTCCACCACTGCTTGTTCTAAATTCAATAATAACAAAAGCCTGTAGTTCCAGTGACTCTGTGTAACCAGAGTGTTTCTGAAAGCCGGAGTGTGGCCTCGAGAGGCTCCAGCTCTGTAGCAGTGATGCTGAACTGCTGACCTGCCTTTGGTGGGTAGGACCACAGTCTACTCCTTGTTCGCATTTGCGTAACACACACACAC